GGGCTTTGCTCCACTGCTCACCACATGCGCAAAAGACAAAAAAATGTAGTGGTGTATCTTCCCATGTTCTGGCTGAAGAGTCATTCTCGTTTTAACGCAGTTGGTATGTATCGGAGCCAGCCTGAGGGCCATAGACACTGGAATGATAAGCAGACCAAACATGCTTCTCCGATTTGCCTGCTTGGCATAGCCAGAAGGGGGTCAGCATGCCATTTTGTTCCAGGTTCGAATGATTGATGAGCTAGATGAGCTCGCCCCTACGGGCTTCAGCTTTCAGTCTAGATACAGCTTTCAGTCTAGATACAATGCCCGGTCATTACACTGGTATTTGGCACAGCTTTCAGTCTAGATACAGCTATAATGACCGGGTGTTCTACTTGGGTGAAGAGAGTAGTGGGGAGGCATCTGTGAACTTAGGACTGGACCCCACAGCAATGTGGGTGGGAAAAACTTTGCCGCTGAACATTTACGGTACCCCACAAACCTGTGACGCGCAACCTCACGCCCTATGCTGTCTTTCGTTCGGAGTGTGAGACGTGCGGAAAGAGGCCCAGAAAAACAGCAAGATGGGGTGTGCCAAGGATTTTTGGAAATTGAGTGTAGGGACACAGATGGAACTGAAATCCCCCGTGTAGGTCCGATGAAGCAGGTCGATTAATTTGGCGCGTCGCGGAATGCGCGCGCGGACATGGCGCAAAAACAGAAAGATCCAAATTCAATCCAAAAAGTAATGTCGGGCTTCCCACCGGGCTACAGCCCGTCATTTAGAACGGAAAGGCTCTGGCACGCTTCGCGTGTCTCGTTTTCGTATCAGATCTCGTCGTCGTTCGCTGGTTAGTTCCGAGTCCGACGTGGATGGTCTCAGCCGAGTGGCTCTTTCCTTATACTCGTCCTCACTCCGTATTCGGTAGTGGAAGCCCTTCGCTTCGTAGCGATCGAAACGCTGGCACTCCGTACACAAAGTGCGGGGCCAATGGGGCGCCACTGCCGTCCACGAAATGACGATCAGCTTGTTAAACGGCAACAATATCGAGTAAGGTGGAAAATGCATATCGATAATGACAAATCCGCCGTCTACGAACCCTGAACAACGGTCGGCCGGAGGGAAGTAATAGTGTCCGCTGATTTGTGCGACGGCTTCTCGTACGTCCCACTCACATACACGCGTCCTTTCCTCGTTGTAGGGAAAGGGCCGCGTGGGGATGGGAGATACGGGAGGCTGGCGCCCAATCGAGGGGTACTTGTCAGTCCACATGTCAATCAATCACAATATCTCGAGTCGTCATTAAAAACCGAAGCGATTTGCGCGACCCTCAATCAATCCTTTTGACACAAGAGCGAGAGCAAAACACACATCCGCTTGATCATGCATATGACTAAGGGACAGATCCGTGGCTCAGCTCAACACAATGTTGGCGCCTTGTTTCTCAAGGCCGTCCGGTGGCTTAGCTGCTGATGTCGTGCAGCATAAGGCAGATGGCATGCGCAGTGCAAACAGAGCTACAGATCTAAACACTCTTGCATTTTCGAACAAAATCCCGATGACAATTGTCTAATCAACAAAAGAGTCACACTTTCCATACATGCATTCACTGTGGAAGGTGCGAAAATGAGACATGCACAGGAAAAAAATTGGATCGCATTACTCAGTACACACGCATCCACCGTTCACAAGACAAGAAGACAGGGTCCTTGCGTAGAAGGATTACCCAAGAAACTAATAGAAGAGTTCCAGAAGAAGTTCTTTCACACAGAATGCCAGCTCATTTCCATTCAAGAGCGGGACAATCATTCAGACGCATCATCATTCGAGAGGAGAGAGAGAGAGAGAGAGAGAGAGAGAGAGAGAGAGAGAGAGAGAGAGAGAGAGAGAGAGAGAGAGAGTCAAAATAGAAGACGACAAGGTCCGAAAAGAGAAAAGCTCAGCGTCGCCGCCTTACACTCACGCCAAGGATAACAATCCACAACAAAGGCGCATTCTCCGTCAATTCCACGATGGCCCCGGGCCAATCACTCACTCAACTCCAATCATCAAACCTCATACCCGCACCGACGATCCCGGCCGTCGCGTGCTAACTCCCACCACTGCGATCGTCACCCCGCTGTCGTAAACTCGACACGGTTCGCCCGGATCCCACAGTTCGTCGTGGCGATCAAGCACGCAACCGGCCAGCCTATCGTCAGCCCGACAGAACATTCCGACTCGCATCAATCCACTTTGCCTAGCCACTGCTTCCCGAAAGCTGGCTTAGGAGTCGAGAACGTAAGAGAGATTTGCGGACGCGCTTGCAGGTTTTATAGTTGCGGCAGGGGAGATAGAAGGGGGAGAAGGCGACAGGAAAGCTGAGGTGTAAGAGGAGAAGCAGGAGGATAAGACTTTTGAGAAGAGTGCTCTACGAACGCCACGCTGATCCCTCGGATCTCAAGGTTCAACCAATCAGATTCGTCGCGTGATAGGAAGGTCCTATCGATCCACGCACCTGATTGGCGAGCGGGAGTTATCGAGGGATCGACCGGGTGCCGTACGCCAGACGTAGAGGGTGAGAAGAGAAAAGGCGCAAGAGGTGGCGCAAGACGGGTCCAAGATTCAGACGATCAAGAAAGGGAAGTGGGCGCGCAAACAGCAAGACGGAAGAGAGAGAGAGAGGGAGAAGGAAAAACAGTTACGGGGAGAGAGAAAAAGGAGGGAGAAGGGAAGGGAGGCGAGGGAGGGAGCGATGCGGGGGACAGAGAGGAGGAAGCTTTTGCATGCACGGCGCTGTCTACAAAAAAAAAAGAAAAAGGCACCGAAACAGTTACAGCTTGCTTCTATCCTAATTCAAAATTGAAATCACCATATCCGCGTGCGAAAAAGCGAAGCGGGAAAAGAAAATCCTACGCCTATTCGTATTCACGCAAAATTCCGAGAGTTTTCCCCGACGCGCCCAAGAACATTCACACACCCAAAGAGGACACGTTGAAGTTCCGCTTATCCCGGAATTCCCAACTACCAAGCCCAATTCCTAGTGCGCTCGCTAAGGCGCACGTAAATTCCCATGTATTTCCTGACTTTGCAAGAAGAAAAACAGAACTCAGCAGTCGAAAAAGCTCTCAAAAAGGAAAATCAGCACCCGAAAGCAAGAACTCAAAACGGGGTTTTCCTGGGGTTGGTATGATACAAGCAAAAGAAAGGGTACTATGGCACGGGGTCGGGAAGTGGTTCGTCACAAACCTCCGCGGAGTCCTTGGAAAGTTGTTCTGGGACCCCACATCCCGAAATCGCCGACGTGGAAGAATGGGATTTTTCGTTTGGAGAAGTCCCCCAGGAGAGAATGCTGCCACAATGTTGTGCGGGGTGGGGAGGGTAGGGGGGGATGACATCTTGAAGGTTTCCAAGGTAGCGGCCAGATGTTCGTGTGTCCGTGAGTCCTTTGACATGTGTTCCTGGCCAGTGACGGTTCCTTCGCGCAGTGGCACAGTGATTGGCCAACGCTTGTCGAAACTTGTTTCCATGCACAGAACAGGATACCTCCATCACCGAGCTGCGCCTTGGACCTCACTTGGCGACCGCACACATGGTTTGGCTAGCCGATTCCTGCACGTGGGGAGGCTGTCCAAGGGCAGCTCCATGACCTCTGCTGTTGTCCGTGCACAAAGCACGGTGGGTCGATGGCAGGACAACCTCCACCGACGATGGTGTGCTCACACACATGCACCTGAAGTCGTGTCCATGCTCCGCGCTGCCCATTCGTCCTCCATATCGGATGGTAGGAGAACCTGGTGACAGGCGCATGCCGACATTGTTCCTGCCATGCCAATACTTTTCTCATGGGTAATGATCCGTGCGAATACCATGAGAGTTCACGAGGGAGGGGATGTCCGAAGGGACCACAGACAGTCGTGTGTGAAGGTGGCACCAGCGCCCTGCCCCTCACAGCATCCTGTCCGCTGTGCGTGTTGCACGTGTTTGCATGGACTGCACCGTGAAAGGAGTGTGCGCCGATTCCTGCACATGGCCATGGAAGTCAAGGACATATCGTGCATCACCACACCTGCCAGCAGCAAGAGGGCCTCCAACATGCCCGGCACGCACAGCGGCACTGCGGTCGCCGCTTCGATGATGGCCATCGCCACGACACTCCTGTGGCTCAATCACTGCAGCAGGATGAAAACCAGCAGAAACGTTGAATCGTCCCAATCGTCCATTTGCGGATCCATGCCTCGACAGCAACTGCACAACGGGAGCACCCTGTGGCCAGGGAGCAAGTGGACACAGCCGCGATGGTGAGGACCGGCTGTGAGGTGAGGTGGAAGGCCTCGACTATGGTGTTTGAATACCGTCGACTGCCAGAGAGAGGACGAGGATGAACCTCACCCCCACGATGGGGAGACGGTTTTCAAAGGTCTGAAATCAGAGGGGGGGAAAAAAAGCCATCGGTGCACAAAAGCCAACAGTCGTTGCATATGGTACTGGGTTCCATGAGGGGGCCGGCGTCGCCGCCTCACTCCCCTTGGCATTTCTGGTGCTTCGCTTGTGGCATGGTGTCAGGGCCTGGTTCGACACCACTACAAAATCCTTACTTTGTAAGGGCGCCCTTACGACGAAAAGGTGATTAATTTTCCCTTACCCCGTTTTCCGTTTCACAACCACATACGAAAACCCTACACTTAGGTGCACTTACGTTTCATGTGCTTCTGTTTACATTCTAAGCGGCCGAAAGAGGAATTCGAATGTCCGACCCGCAGTTGCGCCGGACGAAGTCGTGTCCGCCACCTTTGGGCCCGTGGGACAGCCGGTCCGACCTCATCCCGAAGCTAGGTTGGGCCGTGATTTGGGCGCCCAATGTCATCCGCCCGCGAGGAGAATGCTAGCGAGGACCCTCACCATTCGAATTCAAATTTTGCGCCACCAGTTTGCTTTGCACACATTGCATTCTAGAGTTCTTGTGTGCGCGTTTCTGATGTTGCATGCGCCAATACTCTACTGTCACGGCATCGCACGTGGCTTCGCGTGACTGCCGTTTGGCGTGTTTTCGCAAGGGTGTTCAGCTATGGACGGCGGCGGACGGGATGAGGCGGCGATGAGGAGACTGTCACCCCGTGAGAAGACCATGGTCGCCAGTGTCGTCCTTGCAGTCTGTCGGCACATGGAGACAGTGAACGGACTACGGCTGGCGGTTGGGAGGGGTAAGGGGAGGAGAGAGGCCGCCATAGCCCAGACGTTGGGAGACGTCTGCACGTCGTCGGGTGTGTCATACGCCCGTTTCCTGTTGTCCAACACTATTATCGCGGGTATTTTGTTGAGGGATACACCTCGGTGGTGGATGAAAAGACAGACTGGCGGGATGTGGCAGGACTTGGACATCGCAGATGACGCCACAGAGGAGTATTTCCATGACAAACTGCAAATGTCACGGACCATATTCAGCGACATCGTCGCAGCGTGCAGCCCGTTCATCGAGCGTAGACTGACTCACTACGAAGAGCCATTGCAGCCCGACCTCATCATTGACGGAGGCGGTGCCCATGCCAAATTGTTAAGCAATGGTTACTGGTGAGGAGGCAGACGCGAATACAGATTCGGATCAAACCTGTGGTGCATGTTGTGCTCCACTCCACTCCCACTTCCGTAGGGCCCCCTGCCCATCCCATAACCCTGTGCCCCCCTACTGTATTCATGCCCCATGCCTTTGCTCGCCGAAGAACCCTGTCGAAGCCTCTTCAAACCCTTCCTCCTTCCACGCCGGCTGTGAGCACCGCCCAGTTGGCACAAGTGCAGAATGATCAACAGTACCAATGCCCCAAGCAGGATAATTAGCAGACTGTCTTCCTCACCATGTCACCCATGCGCTCCTCCAGCAAAGTACAAGGAACGGAGCTGCCAAATTTCCAACAGGATCACACGTCATGACTGACAGCGGAGGGGCGGCAATGCCGAGGGGCGTCGTAGACAACCCGCGTTCGAATTCGAACCTAAGACCGCAAACGGCCATCTCACCTGCCTCCACACGGACCCTCGTGACGGTCGCCTCCAAACACCAGCCGAAACGGCAAACCGGAGGGACTGCGGGGGCACAGGTAGGGCACTGCACGGCCGTTGGAGGTTGCCATGGGACTGCTGTCCTGCGGTCTACAGGACAACAACGGTGTTGGACCAGGAACGCCCAAAACACACCTGACGTAAATAAAAAAAAAATAAAAAAAAAACAAAAACAAAAAAAAACGGTTTTTTCATGGATGTAAGGGTGCCACCCCCAGGAACGCCCAAAACACACCTGACGTAAATTAAAAAAAATAAAACAAAAACAAAAACAAAAAAAAACGGTTTTTTCATGGATGTAAGGGTGCCACCCCCTACTTTCAAGTCACCTCCACGGCCATCCTTACGTTAAGGTCCGTTTTGGCTGGGTAGTCCTTACTTTTCCAGGGCCTGCCCTTACGGCCGCGAATGTGAAAACACGTTCGACTTCTTTTTCTTCGTGATCAGCGAGGGGTGGAACGATGAAAAACTTACATGTAAGGGTTTTGTAGTGGTGTCGAACGGGGCCCTCAGCCGCACATCTGTCACTCACGGTGTCGCCTCAGTTGTTCCTACGGTCCTTGCAAAACCACACGGACACTGCCCCACTTTCCTTTTCCGGTCTCTCCTACTCCACCTTTCCTTTTACGGAAATAATTGGTCTCACTTTGCCGGAAAACACAGTACGCGGTGGGATCCCCACAAATGCATTTCCGAACTTTCCAAAAAATTTTGCCCGCTTATCGTGGGAAAACCACAATGTCATTTCTACGCGCAAAGCTGTGGGGTCCAGGCCTTCACAAGGGAGGTCCCACAAGCACTGGGCTAGGCCTTCATTATAATTGTTTTTTTGCACAGAAAAAAAAGGAGAAAGGCACAAAAGACAAAAAGAAATAGAAACCTTGTTCCCAGAAATAACGGAGCAGTGCTTCCCAGCCATCAGACCACAAATGATCCCATGGCGGATGTTGCCACAACAGTGAAAATAATAACTGTCACCTTTCTGAACAAGAAATGTAATGTCTGAAGGGGCTTTTTTTATTACCCAAAAAAAAGAAAAGTAACGTCTGTCAGCAGCAGTGATCATGACGGCCTGCTTAGGTTACTGCACAAAACTTCGACAAAAGTCGTTAAAAAAAAGAAAAAAAGGAAAATACTTAAAATGTTCTTGCACTTGGGCTTATGCCCAATGCCAGGTCCGGGAGGGGTTGGGCGTATGCCCATGGGATAGAAAAAGGCATATGCCCATGGGATAGAAAAAAGTATTGGCACTCGCATGCCGAGTGTTGAACCACCAGTACTTGGCCCATACATCGGCCACAGGCCCATGTCGTGTACGCGCCGCAACTTTCGGGGCTCGGCCTGCGAAGCATAATGGCTGGGGGCGCCAGCCAAAAGGAGGCCGCACCGGTTCGTTTTTCTTTGGCACACAGGTCGGAGAAAAGTGCGTCGGAAATACTGGTGGATGAGTCTTTCCAAAAAGTTAGGATGAACAGTGCTACTGGACCAAAATGTCCGGCGGCGCCAGCCAAAAGGAAAACAAAAAGAAAAACATAATGCTAGGGCTTTTGCAAAGCTTAGCGCCCAGTTCTTTTTCACCTTGTCAAAAAGAGGCTCGGATGTACTGGGAAACTAAGGCCTCGACCCCAAAGAGGACCTGGAAATACTTGTCCGAGACTCCATTGGATGAAAGAGGCTGTCTGGAAAACCAATTTTCGGAAGCACGGGCGGTTTTCTGGCGCCCCAACGCCTGGAAAACACACTGCGGAAAACTGCACTTCTGCGTTTTCACATGACTTTCCGGTTGGAAAACTGGCACAGGAGAGACTTTCCGCCGGAATTTTGTGCCATTTCCAGAGGGTAGCCTAAGGCCTGGACCCCACTGGCCGGCGGCCTGGAAAAGTTCGGGTGCTGTAGTGTTTTCCAGACCCCACCGGTGTTGGAAACCGGTGTGGAAAGTCGGCCCGGAAAGGAATTCCAGACCCCACTGTGCTTGGAAGCAGGTCGAGGAAATGCTGATGGGGTGTTTCTACTCGGTCGGCGGTCTGGAAATTCATCGCCGACTGCTTTCCATTCCCTTTCCAAGGAGGTGTAGGGGGGGGGGGCATGTCAATCCGTTTCCAGACAACGGCTGGACGGCGTGGACCACGCACCCTCATCATGGCCCCTTTTTTGGACCGGGAGGCTGCCGCGGACATGCTCTTTTTTTTTGCCGGGAAAACAGGCTTTTCCACAGGCGAACTCTTCCAACAACCCTTCCAGGGAACTCCTACAATCTGTACTTCTCCAACACTTTCTTGGAAAAAGCACAGGACAACAAACGATTGGCTGATAGATCACTCCCAGCTGGAACAACAGGGACGGGCCCTGCTGTGGTGCTCACGCTGTCAGTCGGGCTTCCCCAAGAAGTTGAGAGCGGAAACAATAGAGCATATCTTTCTACAGTGCTGGACAGCTGTCTTAACTTGGAGATGGTGGGATAGAGTGTGGCAGCAAATTGTGCCCGGGCACCAATGACCGTGGGACTGGCGTGCCATCCTGCTGGGCCACTACTCGCCTCTCCAAGGAGACACTTTTGCCTGGAACATGTTCCAGCTGGGCAGAAGAACGGTCCTATGTGTACTATGGTGGCAGCGTTGCGCCTTGGTTTTTGACCGAGTTTGGGTAGAGGGCGAGGAGAGAGTAGAACAGTTCAAACATTACATACAGATGGAACTGGACTTCAGATGGAAGTCGGTCAAACGCACTCTTGATACTCTCCACAGCGCGACAGACATCAAGGACAGGATAACACAGTTCTCCAAGGAATGGCTGGGAGGGGACCGGGAGGGATGGGTAGCAAAGGTATGTTGGTCAGGGGAAGGGAATGAAGATGAGGGGACAACGGTGSCCCRGGATTATCGGTTACAGTTTAAAGACTGGATGTCCATTGACYGCAACGTTCCTCTGAGGCCTGCAGAGGACTTTCCGGACCCATTCCCGCCCCACCCACTGTCCCTAGATGTGAGCTGGATGGGCTAATTCTTTGATTCGATCCGATGCTTGCTCTGCTTGCTCTGTATGTTTGGCTGCGCTAGTGCGCTGGCGTCGGGTGCTTGGCTGCGCTGTTGCTGCTTTTTTTCATTAGAACAGATGACGAAGGGCAGGTTCCCGAGGCAGGAAGATGGAAGGACAACCCACTGGTGCCCCCCAGTGGCTCCTCCCGGATTCCTGACCAAGCCCACGACTCAAGCTTAACCCTCTGGTTACCGGAGCAATCAGGGCTGGCAGGCATGTTCTAGCTATCATCCACGGGTTGTGATGGCAGGATGGGGAAGGACCCAGTGTATAGGAACAGTATGTCTGGCCCCTGACATCTGGCCCCGGTCTGGCAATAGGGTCCTTCCCAGCAGGTAGCACGATCATGATTTTTCGTATCCTCCTCCTTAAATTCTCTTATGTTCATCTTATGTTCATCGACGCACTTCAAAAGGACGCTGAGCCTGGTTCTCAGCAAACATGTATCAATGGGACGCTGGACCCGGTTTCCAGCAGGTAATGCTCCCCACCAATAGATGGAGCCTCCCCGATGGTGCTAGGGGTGTCTGCTCTTATCAACACCCCTAGCAGCCACTCGGGCTGACTTAAAAA